TATTGTTCTGACAGCTCCTGCTATGGAGTCATGTTGACATAGAACATGAAGCTGAAACTGGAGCACTACAAAGAGGAAGAGGTAATACTCGCGGTCAGTCACCTGCCGAAACGTGAAGAGCAAAGCGCAAACACAAGTTAATGAACCAGACTGAGGTATTTCTCTGCATGTTCCCTTGCTCTTTCTAAAGCCTTTTTCGGTTTTTATTTTGATGCAGGGGAGAGTCCTTGTCGGACCTTTACCCTTCAGCTGTATAGAAGTTGAGCGTCACCTAACCAAGCTTAACGCTTTTCCACTTGCCTTCTCTGCGAGGTCTACGTTTACTGCCGTAACTGTATTAGTTCAGTAAAAGCCGTGGCGGTGCACCACAGATCTGGCTGGTTTTGAGCAGGCCGTGCGTTCTGACGCACTGCAGCTGGCAGTAGATGCTGGTGCTTCCATCACTTCAATGACGTGTGTTTAAACGGTGTGCCATTTTTAGAATCATACCCCGTGATTTCAGGGAAGTAGGTTGACAGGGGCGCTCTCTTTTATCCTTGAGCTCAGCAGCAGCGATGGTTGGGCTCGTGCAACGATCACTCGGGTCTTGTTTTCGTAAATAGAGAAAGCTGGTGTCAGATTCATCAAAAAAAGGCTTCAGCCTGACCAAGAAGGACGTTGATTTGACGGAGTGGATTCGAAAAGCATTCGGAGGGGAAAGGGAGTCGCTCACTGAAATAAAAAAGCTGGTGCCCTCATTAGACATCCAGCGACCTGGAAACGTCGTGTTAGCTTTAATGGCATAAACGGGTCCAGGGTTGTGGTGGTGGTGGTGGTGGTGGTGGTGTGTGAGTGGGTTTTCTGTTTGGTGGTTGTTGTGTGGGTGCATGTCCTTGTTTGGTTTGTTTTTTTTTTTAACAGCTTGGTTTAACCTCAGTTGGCAACTGAGCACCACCCAGCCGCTCGCTCACTCCCCCCGCAGTGGGATGGGGGAGAGAATGGGAAGGGTAAAAGTGAGAAAACTCGTGGGTTGAGATAAAAACAGTTTAATAGGGAAAGCAAAAGCCGCGCACGTGAGCAAAGCAAAACAAGGAATTCATTCACTGCTTCCCATGGGCAGGCAGGTGTTCAGCCATCTCCAGGACAGCAGGGCTCCGTCACGCAGAATGGTGACTTGGGAAGACCAACGCCATCACTCCGAACGTCCCCCCCCTTCCTCCTTCTTCCCCCAGCTTTATATACTGAGCATGATGTCCCATGGTGTGGAATGTCCCTCTGGCCAGTTGGGGTCAGCTGTCCCGGCTGTGTCCCCTCCCAGCTTCTTGTGCCCCTCCAGCCTGCTCAGTCGGTAGAGCGTGGGAAGCCGAAAAGTCCTTGACTAGTGTAAGCACTACCTAGCAACAAAACATCGGTGTGTTATCAACATTATTCTCACCCTAAATCCAAACCACAGCACTGTACCAGCTCCTAGGAAGGAAATTAACTCTATCCCTGCCGAAACCAGGACACAGCTAAAGAAGATTCAGTTGTGGGTACAGCCCTGGGTCTTAACAGCCCCATAGCGCGCAGGCAGAATGAGTGGTATTCCTAGTGTCCTTGCAATGCGTCAGAAATACATCCCAAAATAGCTCTTACTCCCTTTTTCTGTAGAGGCCCCGTTAAGGCAACCTGTGTTTGACAGTCTCCTAGATAGCATTACTCGCGCTCTCGCTAGCAGGCGCGGGAGGCAGACCTGCCAGGACAGGCTGAGGTGGACTGTTCCCATTGCTGCTGTCGCTACTGGACAGAAGAGGGTTAGACCTCAGGAGACGGAACAAATCTATGCAGGGGACTGAAGAAGGACGGCAAAGATGGAGGATACAGCTTCTTTTTCCGGTGTTGATGCTTCACTGACAAAAACCCCAACAACCGGTGTCCTCTTCACCAGGTATTTTGGGACCTGACAACTGTTCTAGCTTTGGGCTTTTCTGACGTGCGGCTTTCTACGCCAACACGCCTGCAGCAATTGCAAAGTTCAGAGCTGGGATACTGTGGAGGAGCTTTTAAGGTGACGATGCGGGTGAAGCCATTTGTATTTATTTCCTCGGGTTCTTTTAAACCGCTCATTATCGAAGGCCTGAAATTATAGGCTGTAGTGTTAGTACCTACAAAATTCATCGCTTATGCATGTATGTGATGAGTTGTTAGCTGTAAATCCACTCTTTCTGGGGTTTCTGGCTCATTTAATCCTCTGAGTCGTAAATAAACGTGTTCTAGCTGGCACGATTCGGAAAGCACCCACAGGGCCTGCCAGGACGCTCCACTTTCTTACTCCAGCCTTACGCAATATGGCAACTGAACACAGATCTCACGGGGCAGATGTCTCAGATGACACATTGGTTCCTTAGTTCATCCCCCTGTTGCTGAAGCGGTACCACCTGATCAACGTCAGGAGACAAGTGCCACGGTTGGCCTGTGGCTCTGTCTGCTCTGCACGTGGCTCCGTTTCGTGGCAGCTAGCACCAGGATCGTCAGAGATGTTAAAACGTGCGAAAAAGCTCTTCGCTGGTCGTAGATCCAAACCGTCCTCTTTCGGGGTTTGCCGGGGAATAGAGGCAGAAGGTAACAGAGGCTCTGCTAATAATGCTCATAGTTTTGAGCCGGCTTACAGAGCTTTACGGTCAGGCTGAAAAAAAAGCTTGGTAATACAAACATTTTTACAAACCTCTTCAGTTTTATCAGTAGGTTCCGGATACTGCATATTTGTATACAGAAATAAAGCCTTCCCTTTTTTCAAGGTGGAAAAGAAGAGTGAGTTAGTACCTGAATTGTTGCTGCCACCTATCAGGCCGTGCCAAGCACAAGGTTAGTCTCTGGATTTAACAACTTACGTTTGCTTAAAAAGAAAAGAAATAAAAATTAATGCGACTTCATAAAAGGTGTCTACTTCCAGGTGTTATTTAGCAGAACTGGCCAAAGTCTTTCAGAAGAATAGTGTTTCTGTTGGAATGTGCTGATGATAGTGAGGTTGAAACTAGTCAGGCTAGGATTTAAAAACATTTTAAACCCACCGATAGCCTACCTCTGACATGTGTCCCAGTCCCCCCCCCCCCCTCCCCCGGGGGCCGCCGAACGCAGAAAACTGCCGCAGTACGAAGAACACGCAGCGCGGTTCACCTGGGTTCACACAGCTGTGAAGTGCGGCTGTGGGCGACCGCGTTCCACGCCGACACCCACCCCGGCACCCACCCGAAGACGTGGCTGCCGCCTCTGCACTGCTTATGCTCTGCACGGCCTTAATCTTCCAAAGTTCGTTAAATAAATTGGAGCAAGAGAGTACAGGAATACCGCGTTGGTATTACAGCCACTGCTGTCGCTCTACAACTGACACACGTCCTGATAGAATCCTAGAACGGTTTGGGTTGGAAGGGACCTCTAAAGGTAATCTAGTCCAACACCCCTGCCATGGGCAGGGAAATCTTCAACTAGAGCGAGTTTCTCCACA